ACAATTGAAAGATACCTTCTATTATCTCCGGGTCATCTTGATTCTCATTGGTCTTGAGGTTATACACTCGAGAAGTAGAGCGTATCTCCTGTTGAGCAGAGGACTCTGACTGACTTATTCCTCTGCCTCTACCTCTTTCTCTTTGAGTCATAGAAGCAGACCTCTCTGGCTGCGCAGACTCACTGACTATCATGGGACAATCTCGAACAAAATGCTTGGTATCTCCATATTTAAAGCATGCTCCAGAAATCATTCTGCATATCCTCGATTGATTCCTCCAACAATGTGAACATTGTCTGAATTGGCCTTGGTTAAATCTCCCAGCTCCAGATCCCGCTGACTGAGTTTGTCTGCCTCTCATCAGATTCGATTCTCTAGCGGAGGATGCCACTAACTCTGATCTAGCCTGGGGTCGAGAACCAACATCTCTGTCCCTTTTTTATGGTACATAATTCGAAGAAGCACCCGTTATTTTCAATGTCTGAGCTCTTGAATCTCCAAACCTCTCATTCTGAGCTCTTTCCAAAGCTTTGGTATGGTTCACCACCTCTTGAAACGAGGACAAGTTCAACACAATCAACATTTCTTTCAATCTTGGACGCAAACCTTCCACGAACCAATCACAAGCATCTTTCTCTGTTGGAATAAGCTCGACAGTGAAGTGACTCAACTTGTTAAATTCACACTCGTATTCATACACGGTGCAATTCCATTGCTTCAAATTCATAAACTCTTGCTTCATTTGTCAGATGAACTGAACTCCTATATATTTATGCTTGAATTCCTCTGAAAACAAGGACTAAGTTACTTGATCACCAGACATCCTCAATGTAACGTTAGTCCACCAAATTCTCGCTTGCCCTCAGAGCAAGGAGACTACTCCATCCAGCTTCTCAGCATCAGAACAATGAAGTCCCTCAAGTATAACTTTCACATCATTGAGCTAAAGGTCTGCAGTAATAAGATATTCTTCAGCTTCACCTCTAAACTCTGGAGCTCCTAAACCCTTGAACTCATTCGCAATATTCATTCTCATAGTTGAAGTAATAGGAGGTTGGAAACGCGTCAATACAACATCCAACGTCCTAAAGAACACATCTTGATTACTCATATGCACTCCAGAATGTGTCTGTTCTTCACCTCACCTTGCCTGGCCAGGATAGGTGAATTACTGCTTTTAGTGGGCTTATCGTCTCCTGCTTCACTTCTAGAACTATCATGTCTGGACATCTAATAAGACATAACCATATCATTCTATTAGCAAAACAACATACTCACTATTTTATCAGATCATAAGTTCTCACTTATACGTTGGCATGTACACATTTAAAGACACTTTAGACTCTGATTTATGCCTAGAATTGGCTAAACCATAACTTTGATACCATTAAATGTAATACCCTCAACCCGTACCCGACCTGGATACGAGTATGCATCGTCACATTAACATTTTAAACTTTGACTATTAAAGAAAATCAAAGAAATTTTAAACTTTCATTAAAATAAAAGCTGTTAACTTACACAAGTTGACCAGAATAATACAAAATCGATCAGAGCATTCGTAATTCACAAATTATTTATATGCCAACTCACTAGATACAACAAAACACATACTTTGTCAATTACTTCTGATCTGATCTTTCAGTAGTGATGTTGTCCTTGCAACTTCTTACTCTGATCTTCTTCTTGTTTCTTGGTACCTATGTATAAACCACTTACACGCTAAATCACAAACTTAGTGAGGCATAAATGAATATATAACGATACATTCATGAACATCCACTACTATCAATCAATCATAACATTGCAATATACATGTATATACTAAACTATAACATATATGATTTTGATATGCATATATGAACTTTTGACTTCACACAAGAGTTTTCAATCAATTTATCTTTGGATGCCCATGTACATTATTGAGAACAGGAGGTACGTGAGTACATTAAGGTTGTGCACGAATGCTGTCACCACAGCTCGAATAAATTCCCACTAGGGGCACTAAAAATTTGTCCCGAATGACCACTGATAATCCCTTAACTCTTGATATGCCAATTATACCTACAACTCTCATATCATATAACATGGGCTTAATTATGAGTATCTGTCACATTTCAAATCACTTATATATTTCTCATATAAACTCATCACATGCACATATATGATCCTTTGATGATATCATTCATCACATATAGTGTTATATTAAAGCATGGATGAATTATGCATGTAATCACTATAACCTTATATATATATATATATGCATGTACATGAATTTGAAATCATGAATTCAACTATAAGAGATAGACTTATCGCAAGCCTTATCTTCATACAACTCTATTTAGGATATGCACTCACCTTAGCCTTGCTTGAATTGAGTCGATTCTAATTCTTTGATTGTTCTGGAATAGAATTACGTTCAATATCTACATAATTATACATTGATACATATCAGTATTCCAAATGACATACTCTAATATTTCATTTTTTAAATTAAAGAAAAGGCTAATTTCATTTCTTGTTTAAAGTAGGTATCGATACCCTCTATAGGGTATCGATACATTCCTTAATTGAGGTATTGGTACCCTGCCTAGGTATCGATACCCCTATTATATTATATAAATTATTTGTTTCAAGGGGGTATCGATACCATTCTTAGGGTATCAGTACCCTTTGAATGTCTTCCTAAATTTACTCTTGAGGTATCGATACCTATTGAATGGGTACCGATACCCCTTGCCCAGAAATCACTTCTTTAGCCTGAAAAAATACTCAATTCAGCTCAAATGCTTCATATTTCACCCCTTACATATACTTAACTTACATACACATGCTTAAACCCATTAATACTCATCTAATACATCATTAACTTCAAAATCCAATCATCAACATAGAAATCAAGAATCACACCAAATTTGTAACATGTTCTAATTCCAATTCTAACACTTAATACTTCTTAGTTAGGTTGATGACAAGTCAAATTTAACTTCCAATTCTAATTATGAACTCTATTCCAAGTTTTCATTCAAGAACTCCTAATCTTTAATCCCTCCTAACTCCATCATCCTTTGATTTTAAGATAACTTAGCTTTCTTTAAGCTTAATTATCATCTAATGATCATAAACCAACCTTAAATTCAAAAAAAAATAACTAACCAGAAAACTTACCTTTGTTTTTAGGGCCTTCACGCACAAAGAAGAAAGGAGAATAATAGAACTCTGGAAACTGGAACTTTGCCTCTTCTTCACCTCCATGTGCACCTAATATAAACCCATCAAAATTTAATTATTCCTTACCCAAAAGACTATTTTGTCATACAATTACTTCTTCTTTGCAATTAAATCCTATACCAAATTTATAATATAAATCCTTGAACTATTCAATTATTCTACTTTTGTCACCAAATTCTAAAATTTTACAATTTAGTCACTAACCCGGTATTGAGAATGTTACAGAGAGAGTTAAACTTAGATCTATGTGAACAATTGGGTAAATATGTTAAGTAAAACCCTAACCTACCTTAGAGATAAGGAGCAAGTTTCAATGACTAAAAAGAGTAGAGCTTAAACGATAGTATTTTGCTAGGATTTATGCTAAGAGATATCACTTTAGTATTATTCTGTCAGGTTTCTTTGTAGAGATAGTTTAAAAACACCTTAGAAAACTCTGTCAAGCATTGTGTAAACTGGAAATTGTTGATATTCATTAAGGTTAAGACATAGGATTCCAGGATAAACCTAGCTGCTTATCCTTATTAACATTTTCTTTATTGTGACTTATGAGGTCAAATCGTGTTATTTATTTCTGTATCATTTCTCAACTTACAGTTTTGTTACAATATTTCTTATTTAATCTTTGCTTCAACAATTTATTATAGTTGACACTTACCTCAACCATCACATTTATTTGTTCATATCACCCTCATTTAGTTTGTTTTTTATTCTAAGTGCATATATTTACTCGAAATCCCTCCAATCTTCTTGGGAACGATACTCACTCGCTCTTTATTACTTGTGCGACCGTGTATACTTGCATAAATTGCGTATCAAATTTAGCACCCTATCACAAGCAATAGTGAGATTAAGGGGGAAGTGGGTACGTGAAATCAGATAAAATAAATAGGGTTTTAGCTTTTGATTTAAAAAATGATAAAATGTCAGTTTAGGTCATCATCTTTTTTTTCTTATCAAACTCATCCCAAAACCTAACACTTGGGCCAAAACCTAACACTTGGGCCAAAACCAGCCCTAACCCAACTTAATTAGATCCTCATTATTCTAATAAGTCCTTTTGGGCTCTATTTATGGGTCTCGGGTCAACCTAAACTACTAACCTGAGATTTGGGGTATTACACTCATCAAAGACCAAACATAAGCAGTTAAACCCCCCCCCAAAACCTTTTAAACCACAAGAAACAAATCTTAACGGAACAAAAAAAATAAGAGATAAAGTATATATAAACAAACTTAGGCCAAAATGCACAAACAAACAAACCTGCAAGTTATTTTTATGTATGAGAAGGAAGAGGAGAAGAAGAAGAAGAAGAAGAAGAAGAAGGGAAGAACAAGAGTTAAGTGCTATGTCAACAAAAAACTAACGGGATGTAACAGTATGAACCTTACTGAAAACGAATTAAAAGTTCCATGACTGTATTACAAGTTTCAAAAGTTGGGTGACCAAAATGTAAGCGTCCTAAAAGTTTGAGTACTATTTGTACACTTTACCCTTATTTTTATTTAAAAATTATATAAAAATATAAAAATATAGAAAAACATGTTCATTACCATTTAATAATAAATATCTTTTTATTTACTTTTTAATTAAGTTGATATGAAATTATCCTTTTGCCTTAAAAAAATAAACCATTTTTAAAATAAAACCTCATTTAAAAAAAAATAAAAAACATTAAGGTAAACTATTTTGCAATAATTATATTTTTCTAAAATTTAATTTAAATGAAAATTTAGTTAATATGATAACGCCAACTCCATTAAAGCTATAAGGACATCACTGATAATGTTTCTCTCTTCTCTCTTGCTTAAACAGCTCTTCAACATCCATAGCTTTTCATTTTCTTTCAAAATTTCTCTTATTTTATTATATTTTTTCCGACTTTAAAATTCAATGGAGAATCTGAATATGGCGTTACTTTCTTCATCGTCTTACTGTTCTGCTCCAAAGTTATTTCCATTAGGATACAATAATCATAGTTACGCTCTCAAAAACCCTACCAAAACCTTACATTTTCGAACTTCCAAGATTGTTCCTCGTCGTTCCCGAATTCCCACCTCCGCCCATCTTTTTCCTCTTCCTCCACGTCATCCCCGAATCGGTATTGCTTTTCTTCTTTAGTTATGCCTCTCTTTACCGTTTTTGTTTTGATTTTATAAATTCGTGTTATTTTGAGCTTGCTCTCTCTCTAATTTGGATTTTATGTTAAGCAGTTCTGAGAAAGCACGGGGATGAGCGGTTTGCGAGCATTTCTTCTTCTTCCAGCAATCAACAGACTACTTCTTCAGTTGGAGTCAACCCGAATCCCACTGTGCCTCCGCCGTCCTCTCAAATGTATTAAATCATCTTTTATTTTGATTTAACTTTGGTTCTAATTGCTCCTTTTGAAAACGAAAAAGAATAATGATGAACTTGTTAAGATTGTAATTTCTCTGGAGGGCAAAACATTTGATAGTATTTAATTTAATGTGAGGAGAGGAAGTAACCGATATTGTATTGGGATTATGGTTGCTTTTATAGTCTCTTATATATTTTCTTCTTTGATTTTTTTCCTTCTCAATGTTCAGTAAATCTTCAGATACCAAAAACCACCAGACAGAGCCTAACGGAACAAATATATTTGAATTGCCATGAAATCTTTAACTTTTTTCTCAAGTTTTTATGGAGTTGTGATTTTACTTTTACAATTCACATTGTACTATAAACTTAGGAGGAAGTGATGAAAATGCAAATCAGAGAAAAAAGTAGCAATCACTAGGCAGGCATTATCTTTTTCTTTTTATGAACTCTTTTTTCATCGCTTAGTCATTTGTTTCTTTATGTTTTGTAGAGGATCACCGCTCTTCTGGATTGGAGTAGGTGTTGGGCTTTCAGCACTTTTTACATGGGTGAGCACTTTAAATTTTTTTCTTGGTCGAGATTTATAATGTTATTGTATTGATAATGGCCATGGTTTCCTTTTTGGTACATATTTTGATGAGACCAAATGGAATGACAGGTAGCTTCAAGATTAAAGGTGAGGGTTTCTCTCATTTGAGGTATACTTGTATTGTTTTTGCCCGTAATATTTATTATTGGATCTTCTTTTTCAAGTTTTGGAAGTAGAATATGGTACTTAAATGGTGGTAGGTAATTTTTTTTAATGTGCGTGCTTTGGATATTTTCTGTAAATTGAAAAGTCTTAATCATGCTTTTGGTGCCATCTGAAGATAGGATGTTTTTGTCTCCCATTAGTTTTCTAAGTGTCCCATATCTATCTAAAGTTTTTTTTTTATCTGTCAGAATTTTTTATTTTTCTTGGGAGGGTTCATATATAGCTGTTTTTAAGAGGGTTTATGTTTGGTCTAGAAGACTATACAGTTATATAATAAATCATCCATCAGACCTAATTTGAACAGATTGTTTGACCATGTGCTTGAATCTAGTTGTTATCTATCAATTGAAATCCAAGAATAGATAGTGATAGTTCAAAACAAGACTGGGGAATCAATGTTTTCCTAGAGGGCCCAGAGTTGACCTGCAAAATTGTGGTTTGATATATGCAAAATATTTATCTTCATTTATTCTGAAGGAAGATGAACCCATGGTTGGGCCCCCATTTGTGGGGTTTGCAGAGTTGATAACAAAGTTGTTAATGGAAATTATTTATCCATGATATAAAATTACCAGTCGATCATTTTTCAAATAAAATAAAATAAAATTACTAGGCAATCAGTAAGTAAAGAGCTTGTTGTATATTTGTGCCACTTCCATTTCTGCCAGATCTTAGTTGATGCAGTTGAGAAGATGACTTAATGGAAGAAAGTTGCCTTGTCATATCTAAATGTGTGTCAATTTATAAATGTTGTAAATAATTGGGTATGATACCGAATGTTTTGCTACAGTGAGTTCCTTGTGTCATGAAGACTATCAAACCCCTGCTATGACTTGTTAGATATGTATCCCATATCTCTTTCTCGGCCCTTTACGTTTTGGGGCTGAGCTGTGCCTTAATGTATATAAATTATGGTCCTTGTTTTGGGGTATGCTTAACTTTCTTTATGCACTTAACATGGTACAAATGGTAAAACATTTTAGTGTAACTCTTTTATTTCGTTGTATTATGACATTTCCCTCTAATTCAGAATTATGCAATGCAACAAGCTTTCAAAACCATGATGGGCCAGATGAATACACAAAATAATCAATTTAGCAATACTGCTTTTCCCTCGGGATCCCCGTTTCCGTTTCCATTTCCAGAACCTCCATCAGCAGGTCCTACTACACCCCATTTTCCATCTTCTTCTCAACCTGCTGTCACAGTTGATGAACCTGCATCAAAAGTTGAAGCAGTCTCGGTGACTGATTCAGAAACTGAAGTGAAAAGTGTGAAAGATGAAAAAGAAACAGCTGAGCCAAAGAAATACGGTAATATGAAACTTTTACTGTTACCTATACGATGTATAATGAGCAACTCTTCCTTTTTTGAGGTAAAAAGGAACATTATATGGCAATTAGTGTATATGAAATGTTAGCAGGACTAAAATAATGGTTTTTGTGAGTTATGGTTAGATGTAAATATTAGTTTTCTACTTTAATACTAACACTAGAATCCTAATTTGTAGATAATACAATCCCTAGTGAAATAGAAGAAGAATTTTCTGAGAAATTTCATTCTACATGGTATCAGTTACATATTGTTCAGTGATGTCTGCTGAAATTGTTTTATGGCATTTTAGGTTAGATCACTTGAGTTTTAGTTATCTTGCAAAATTGTTTCCCAAATTGTTCGTTAATAAAACCCTTCATCATTTTCTTGTGATATATTCTATCTTGCTAAACACATTTGTAGTATGTATTTTCCTTCTAATTATTATTCTTCCAAACCGTTTTCCCTGGAACATAGTGACATTTGGGGTCCATCTCGTGTCAAAGGCTTACATAGAGTTCGTTGATTCATCTCTTTCATCGATGATCACTCTCATACCACATGAAGGATAAATTCAAGGTTGGGAGAATTTTCAAATGGTTCCATAAAATGATTGAGACCCAATTTCAAAGCTCTATCGATATTCTCAAATCCGATAATGGTAGTGGATATTTTTGTAACATGTTACGGTCTTTCTTTCAGGAAAAAAATTGTCCATCTCACTTCTTGTTTTGGTATACCACAACAAAATGGGGTAGCCGAACGCAAAAATCGTCATCTTCTTTAGGTAACCCGAGAACTTATCTTTTCAACCCATGTTCCTAAGTACCTTTAGAGTGAGGCTCTTTTAATTGCAACCTATCTTATTAATCGTATGTCCAATAAAGTCCTTAAATTTCAAAGTCCTCGGGATGTGATTTCTCAATTTTTTCCTCATTTTAAACCATTTGCTTCTTTTATTCCTCTTTGTGTCTTTGGCCGTACAGTTTTTGTTCATGATCATTTCCCAACTAAGTCCAAACTTGATCCTCGGGCAGTTCGTTGTGTCTTTGTTGGGTACTCCTCTCTACAAAAGGGTTATCGTTGTTACTCTCCTTCTACCAAGAAAATGTTCGCTTTGATGGATGTTACCTTTCTCGAACATAGACCTTTCTTCTCTAAAACTGAAATCCAGGGGGAGAGTGAGTGTGAATTTCAACTTTTTCCAATTCATATAGAGTTACCCATCAACTTATCTCCCACTGAACCTATAGAACCTCAACCATCGCCTGAAACAATCATTCAAGCACCACCTACTACCTAAACCCAACACCAAACCGATTCACCTAAAACACCTAATCCACCCATGTCTCCATTTGTTCCCCAAACTGATATTCGTACCTACAAAAGGCGACTAAAATTCACCACACTCATTCCCACACTGCCGCCGCATTGTCAAGAGTCAGAACCAGGCTCAGATTCCTTGGAAGGAGAAGAAGGTGATCAAAGTAAGTTAGATGTTTTGGTTGATTCTAGTGAATTGCCCATTGCTCAAAGAAAGGGAGTATGAAGATGTTCAACTCATCCTATCAATAAATTTGTTGCTTATGGTAGACTAATGTCTGGTTTTAAGTCATTTACAACCAAACTTGACATCATCCGCATTCCAGAGACATAGGAGAAGCTCTAAAAATTCCCGAATGGAAGAAGGTAGTAGAAGAACTTTCAGCTCTTGAAAACAACAAAACCTGGACTATTTGTGATCTTCCTAAAGACAAAAATGCAGTTGGTTGCAAATGGGTCTTTACAGTCAAATACTAGGCAGATGGAAACATTGAACGGTATAAGGCCAGACTTGTGGCAAAGGGGTTTACTCAAATTCATGGAGTAGACTATCAAGAAACTTTTGCTCTAGTTGCAAAACTCAACACTGTAAGAATACTTCTATCCTTAGTAGTTAATAAGGATTGGACACTCTATCAACTTGATGTCAAAATGCATTCCTCAATGGCAATTTTGAAGAGGAGGTTTATATGCAAATTCCACTGGACGTGCAGATGAAATCGAAAAATCAGCAGTCATGCAAGTTGTTGAAGTCATTATATGGACTAAAAAGAATCCCCTCGTGTCTGGTTCGATAGATTCACGAAGGTACTTTTGCAAGACAACTATAAGCAATGTCAATTTGATCATACTCTGTTTGTGAAGATCGGTTCAAACAATAAAAGGACAATCTTAATTGTTTACGTTGATGACATCATCATCACTGTGATGACTTAAGAGAAATAGAAAATTTGAAGAGATTGCTAGCAAGAGAATTTGAAACCAAGGACTTAGGGACCTTGGGGTATTTTTTTGGCATGGAAGTGGCAAGATCAAAAGAAGGAATTTTCATAAATCGGAGAAATTATATTCTCGACTTACTCTCTAAAACTGGATTTACAGATTGCAAGCCTTCGGAAACTCACATGGAAGCAAATATGAAGTTAAAGGAAAATAGAAGTCCAGTAAACAAAAAACAATATCAAAGTTTAGTGGGCAAGCTCATCTACTTGTAACTTACTAGACCAGACATAGCCTTCTCTGTGAGTATTGTGAGTCAGTACATGAATGATCCTAGAGAAGAACATTTGGAAGCAGTATCTCGTATTTTAAGGTATTTGAAGATGACACTGGGTCATGGGTTAATTTTCAGAAAACATGAAGATAGAACAATCAAGATCTTCTCAAATTCAAGTTGGCCTGGAGAGTTAACAGATAGGAGATCAAGTTGGGTTGTAGTTTCCGGAAGTAGTGCAAAAACAGAATATCGGGCAATGGCACTGGGAATTTGTGAAGGCATTTGGTTACAATGACTCTTAATTGAGTTAGGAGTTAGTGACAAAACCCACTTTGAAGTTCAAAGTGATAGCGAGTCGGCTATAAGCATTGTTAAAAATCCGGTACAACATGACGGAACTAAGCATGTGGAGATCGACAGACACTTCATTGCAGAAAAGGTGAATGGTGGAACCGTAAGACTCAACTATGTATCTTCAAAAGATTAACTAGCCGATATTTTGATCAAGGCACTTCCAAGAATCAATTTCGACGAGATTACATCCAAGCTGGGTCTTTACAACATTTATTCCCCAGCTTGAGGGGGAGTGTGAGTTATGGTTAGATGTAGATATTAGTTTTCTACTTTGACACTAACTCTAGAATCCTAATTTGTAGATAATACAATCCCTAGTCCATCTTAAACTCTTTACAAATACTTGTATACAAACACTTCTGTAAACTCTGATTGCAACGTGAAATAGAAAAAGAATTTTCTGAGAAATTTCATTCTACAGTTTTAGATATAGTTAACGACTTGATTCATTTCAATTGCTATGCGATTCTCGAAATTGTTTCTCAAAGATTGAAGCAATTTTTTTTTGCAGCTTTTGTTGATGTTTCTCCTGAAGAAACTGTCAACAAGAGTGCTTTTGAAGATGCAGAGCTAAGTTCATCAAGCGGTGTTGGCTCTCCCAAGGATGTAAGTTTTAATTTTTTTTTCTCATTATGATGCTGTGCTATTATGGATATTTCTTTAGGAATCAGAGTATCTATTTGGGAAATTTATTTTATTGTATTTTGTATGAAGGTTTCTGATAATGGAGTTGCATCCAAGCAGGATGCTGGTGCTTTCAGGGGTTTCCAGGAAAGTGGTATGTAAAAAGCTAGTTGTAGAGTTTATGGTTATTTGGAATGGAAGTGTGGGGCATTTTGGTTTGTTTGTGTTTGGCTGCGATAACCGTATGAAGAAAACCATCCGTGTCAAGTGCAACACTTCTAACCCTTGTAATCTTCACACTGTTTAAAATTTCACCAGGGTTATGGGAATCCACAATTTTCTTAGTAATTAATGTATCTTTTTTAATATCCATCTCTTTGCAAATCCATTTGGTTTGTTTATTAGCATAGCTAATGGCGGTTAATAGTTGGATTTATTAACTAACTGAGACAGGCATTTCTGTTACCTTATTTATCAGGTAGCGCTTATTCAAGATTATATATGGTGCCTTTATTTCACAAGCTTAGTTCTATCCGTGCTCTCCTGTGATTTATTGATTTAATTATGCACGTGGATACTTTTGGCCAGCTTTCCAATTGTTCATGCTCTATGAGTAATACTCGTGCAAACGCTTTATTGCAATTGCAGGAAGATCAGGTCCTACCTTATCTGTAGATGCTTTAGAGAAAATGCTGGAAGATCCAACAGTACAGAAGATGGTTTATCCGTAATATAGCTTCTTTTCCTTATTTATCTTTTTCCTGAAATTCTTATCGATGTCATCTTGGTTTGCACTGAGGTTTGGTGAAAGTTTATGCTCGTCTAAATATAATTATATAATACTTATTCTTTGGAATAGTTATAGAACACAAGGCCTGTAAAATTACTAAGTTTCTTGTATCTTTCCTCTTGCAGTATGTTTCAGACATCTGAATGTTTTTGATGAGGAACATGACATATTACAGCTTTTATTTTCGTGTTAGTGAATGAGTTCTGATCTTTTGTTCCTACACCCTTTGTGTTCCTTGATGATTTAATACCTTTTTACCTTAGTGTACTGAACTATGGATGTTGCTGGTCAAACTCTGTTATCTTCTTCTTTGTTGTCTCTTCTTTCCTTTTCCAGTTACACTCAAGACATATCCAGACCTAAAGCCGAAAACCTTTTCTTCTCCAATGCAATTATCTTCATTTCTCATAATTCTTGTGGATTTTTCCCATGACTTTTAGTCATTGAATGCTGGCATCAGATCTACCCATTAGTCGTTTCTTGTCATCCTTTTTGTGAACCTTGGCCTTGAAGTTAGTGATTGGGAGTTAACATCCAATTATCCTAACATGAAGGTAAGTGACATCAAAGGCAAAGCTAGTAGACTTGCATTAACTTTAGTTCATGAACATTCACCAAAACAAGGTATGATGATGGTTAAATTGGCCAAAAAATACTCAAAAAACTTATAAAAGGTAAATTATATCATAAGGCTTTCTTTCCGGATTTTGACATCCATTTCTCAATGAGGTAAATTAGATTATAAAGAAAAGGACTATTTGGAGGCCAGTTGTGGGCTTGTGGCAGAAGCTGTTTGGTTTCAATTAGGTTGTTAGAAGAGACCAAGGAAGGGGAGTGTTTGGATAGGATATTTTCTTGTAGTATTTGTCAATTAACTGAATTAAGCTTTCATTCAATCTTTTGTTATCTATTGTCAAAAGGAAATTTGATCCTTTATTCATCCGAATAGGTATTTGCCCGAGGAAATGAGGAACCCTGAGACTTTTAAATGTAAGTCCACAGTTTTTGTAACACTTCTTTCCTTCTCACCTTTTATGTTTTTTTTTTGGATTAGTGTGATGGGCAGATGGGAGTAGAGAAGGTAGGTTTTTATGGTCTCTGTAAAAATTATACCATATGCTAAATTTTAGACTGTTTTCTTTTGTCTGGTTAAGGATTCATGCAAAGACTTGTTTCATGTCCCAGTCAACTTATTAGAATTATTTGTTTGCAGAACTGCTTTGTTATTTTGATGCATAAGCATTGCTGCAATTTTATGGATACCGTTTTTATACCCAATTTTCTTACTGTTGTGCATATTTTTTAACAGGGATGCTACAAAATCCTCAATACCGTCAACAACTGCAAGACATGCTGTAAGCACTCTTCTGACCCTTCTGCATTTGATTACTTTTACGGGTTTGTCTTTTCTCTTGATTTACACTGTCACAAGCATAGTCATCCAAAAGAATTTACTGCTTGCTTCTCATTTTGTTCTTTTTCAATTATCCTTCTCACTTTTCTCTCTGGACTTTGTTGATATATCATTCCCACTTCTTTTTTCTTTATACAGATTTTTGAATGGCAGAGTTGAAATGCATTATTCCTGTAATCCCATCTTAATTTTTTATTTTATAATTCTTTAATTAAGTTTTTCTTCAATATCTATATTTACTGCTTGAAGAGTAAGAAACTAATTGTGATCATTATCAAACGTCAATGTGACATTTTTACTTGCAAATTAACATGATCCTAGAGCCCAACTTATTTATTTGAATAACATCTAATATGCTTGGATGTCTTTTTCAATTTTTTTCCTCTGATGTCAGTCAAATTTCATACTTCGTACATCAATGCTTTAACTTCATTGATTTCTATTTTTTCTCGTTTTCCCTATTAGCCTTATGGTTTGCTATTGTTATATTAATTTTCTTGTTATTCAGAATTAAATCAGTTTCCAGCAAATCCTCGTATGCTAATATCGTCTCAGAAATTCTTTTCAGAAATAATATGGGTGGAAATACTGAATGGGACAATACGATGATGGAATCCTTGAAGAACTTTGATCTCAACAGTCCTGAGGTCAAGCAACAATTCGGTAAGTCTGAAGCTTTGGCGCTTTGGATAAGATACTAACTGGTTTATATCAGACCCCCTTATTATCTATATATGATATTTTAGTTACCAGATTGTCAAATTCTCTGCCGCTTGAATATGGTTTGGAACCTGAAGAAGTTTCTTTAATTTCTCCCCTTCCCCGTTTGCAGATCAGATTGGGCTGACACCTGAAGAAGTAATCTCCAAAATAATGGCCAATCCTGAAGTTGCTATGGCATTCCAAAACCCTAGGGTTCAAGCTGCTATCATGGAGGTATGTTCTATCTGGTTGATAGGATGAATCCTCGAATATGTGTTTAGACTTTAGATGCATTCGTACATTGTAAACCTTAGCATTTATGTTCTTGACTATGTGCTTCTTTTTCAGTGTTCCCAGAACCCACTGAGTATTGCGAAATATCAAAATGACAAGGAGGTAATCTTTTTCCTTCTTTCTATTTAATCTATGGGATTAATGGCCATCACGGAGTTCTTCCCTTTTAAACAGTCCCCCCCCGGGCTTGATGACTATATGATGTCTACATTTATTTATCCAAAAATACAATCATCTTACATACATGCATAGGCCTACATGTCTACCTGTCTACTTGCAAATGGATTTACAATATGGCTGTGATTTTGTTTTTTCAATGAGCCTATTAAGATTCAATAATCAGCTTTTCGTATACGTACTAAGATTCTATCTGTGGTTCATCATATAGTCGTCTAAACTTTGCTACCGTTTTCTTGATTCACAGCACATTTTTGTTTTGCACTTCAGGTTATGGATGTATTCAACAAAATATCCGAACTCTTCCCCGGAATGTCTGGTTCATATTGAACTTGGTTAGTTGGTTGGATCCGGAGTATCAAATCCAAAACCGAGTATGATTTCTGAATCACTCGTTCCGAGTTTGAGTTCTGTTTCCAGAATGAAAACGAGCATTACCATTCGGTTAACCCTAATGTCCACCGTTTATTGTAATCTAGATTTTTGGTAAACTGTAGTTGCAGTTGAATGCGTACACTATCCAGAAACTAACGATAAATGGTTTTATAGAGGCGCAATGTCTTTGCAGTATTTGCCTTGTTGATCAGCTTGATTTAATGGTATACTGAAAAGCGACATGAAAGGCTAATTTATGCAACCAATTGATAATAATAATAATAATAATAAATAATCGGTCTACAAACATAAAACATAAAGGGCTATTATCTCCACGTCATTAATTATATTTAAATAATCCCTAAACTTCAAATTGTAAATCTAAACCCTAAAATGTATAATCCTAAACCTTAAATAAGATATACGAAAACAATGGAAACCTGTTTACGAAATATTTTCTTCCAATGCCATGAAATAGTTATCCAAGCATCTCTAAATACACATTTCAACAATATACAACAATCGGCACTCTGTTTCAAGCTTATATAAACACAAAAGTCCATCGCCTCGAGCAAAGGCATGAATCTTGGCAGCTAGGCAAGTGATATCTTCAACATCAACCTAAACTCAAACTTGACACTTTCTTTTATAGGCATCGTTACACTCTCCAATTACGTACAGCACAACCACGGATTACGTGTACACAGCGAAATAGAAACAGCTAACCTACTCTGCCAGTGCGATGTGAGCAACACTGCTGTTACATAACTGCAAACGTTGTCAAAGGGGTTTTACGGACATTGTATTCAGACAGTGCTAGTATGTACACGTTCATGGTTTCATCACATGTCCATGTTGTCGAATATTTCACCATCTTCGGAACACAAGTTGTCAGCAAGAAATCCATCACCCACAAAATTACTGCCCGAAACAACATTTGGGAATGAGGCGTAAAGACGATCATGGAAAGCTTGTAAAGTATCATAAATATCTTGGAAAATATACCGCCTTAAGCAGCAAAAGCTGAAACTCACTATACCCTTTAATTTTCTGTTTTAGAAGAAGAAACTGAATCCCCCAAGTGTTAATTATGGCAGAGTAACAAACCACTTGAGATTAAAGTTTTACGGGAAAAAAAGGGTCTTACATTGCCCTTTTCTCCAGTAAGGGATCAGCATCAGAATCTGGATTATAGCTGTAAATTTCACACTTCGAGAGATCCTCAACCTGCATAACTTTGGTATTTTAGAACCGCCACTTGCTGAAACTTGCATTTAGACTTTTTGAAATTAAGCTCACCTCATCTAGAGCCTTGTACAGAGTTTCCAGGAGTGAACTACCCCCATACTTCTCGATCCATTCCTGTCAGTGATATAAAGCAGGAAACTTAAGCACAACGTAAATCTACTTTTTTAAGGTAACACATATCACGATCATATGAACGCTGGCAATCCCTTGTCTCCCATAATACAACCCCACTCCACCAATCCAAACAAATGACAAATGGAGAAACCCACTGGGTCAACATGCCATATAACTCGGGAAGTGACAAATGAATACACCTACCTAAACCGGTGACCAACATAAGTATCCACAAGGACATGAGATACATGAAGATTACAACAATAACTCAGGTAACTTATTCAAGGAAATCCAATGTCAAAGTGAACAGATGAAGATAATTGTGCTAATACCTTTGACGCTTCAAGCATGTAGGTTTCAAAAATCTGCTTAAAAGTTTCCCAGCTTTCCTCTGTGAAGAACTGGTGTGCTTTAACTGCACTGGAAACCATAGATGCGCATGCCATATCATAATATAAGTGATCATATCAAAACATGCATGAATATCATTATAAGCACTCAATGGCACAACAATGACTTGAAATAGACAAATGAACCCATATAATCGGCAGAATTAGAAATGGGAAATGGAGTGATTTGAACTCTCAGCTCCTACAAGAGCGACAGTTGGCTGAATTGTCTGTCAAAGCCTTTTGACAACACTCCCAATGCAGAGAAAAGGAGAATTAATAGCGGGTTTCCAAGTCGCCCAATAAGCTGACAGTGGCATTACCCATAATCCTCCTCTTAAGCTTTCTTTAAAAAAGAAGAATGTGCTGATGCAACGTAAGATACAGAGATACCTTAAGTCGTAATCTGGATACATGTGATAGAGGGTAAGCACCAAGTAGATCAATGTCTTCCGGCTGAAATGCACGTGTCAAAGAAATCTGAAAGATAAACTAAACTGCCTAAACCTGAAAGTAATATTTACAACCTTGATCGGCTCAAAAGGAATTCAACCGGTGAGGAGTCGGTATCTGAAGATTTCCCAAGGTAGTCTAGGATCTGATATTAAACAAGCATTAGAAAACCCTCATCCCTCCAATAATAACCTTCTAGAGCAAAAAGGAATCGAACATATGATATGTTGATTGTTCTCAAATGTACCTCATTTTCCAGACTGAGAGAGTCTTTTATCTGTTCCTGTGTGTTTGCCTAAACGCAAGAAAGAAACTGAGTTTGATCAAGTTTCTCCAAATTCTTCAGGACAAATTATGTACCTAAAGTTGCAAGAATATGCTTCAAGACTCCCTTCGATGGTACGTTCACCAAGGTTTATTTCTTTCAAGAAATAATTTATTCTAGAAAATTGGCATGGGACTCGTGACAGAATTCAGGTTAGAAAGCAAATGGAAGTGCTCATGGATCTAAGAACTAAGGGATAAGAAAATAGCAACTATTATGCAATTAGGTCTTTTCAATGATTGCAAATTACCGGTCAAGAGGAGTGTATTCTAAGAACTTCATGATGAGTATATTCAGACAGGTTGTTGAATCTTAGCGTCGCAGATGCCAAACTAAAAGGTCCTGAAGCCAAAGATAAGCAGGATTTATACACTGAAACTATAATGTAGAATTTATCGTAGTAACAATGCATCCTGACTATCACTTAAGGGATGCACACAATCAGATTGAAACACTTACGGATGCAATTGCAAGCACGGTAAATACTTCAATGCAAGTCACAGTCAACCGATAAAAACCACAGTTTCTTTTCAAGTAATTGTTATTCATTTACAAAACTCCCCTGACTGATCTTGAGCATAGACATCAATCTCTCATCTCATTATTCTGTTATTGAAGATTTAAACTTGAAAAGTAATAATAATAATTCCATTTCCCAAATCTATACATCATCTCAACCCATGAATCAAGTAGAATTCGGGGGGGGGGGGGGGAACTTTTAAAAGCTTGTAACTTAGAACTGTTTTGTTAATTTAGATCAGGGTAATGGGCACTTCAGGTACTATATCTCCATATTGAATTGTGTCATTGTGTTCCAATTTTAATAAATTTGCAACCATAAATCAATTTCATGGTTTCTTACATGAAAATCACCGAAATAGAATGTTTTATGGAAAATTTTGCTGATATAATTGATTTTTTTTGTTGATTTCCATTTTATTCTGAAACCAAGAAAACTGAAAGTATAAGGGTAACATTCTACAAACTGAAATACAGTGGGAAGATTTAACATCGAGATCTATACTAGAATTTCTTACATCTAAGTTGCTTTAATTCCGAAGTAGTAGTCATATTAAGCAATTATGTCCGACATATAAACAACAATTTTCCTTCACATTTACAACTTACAAGCAGTTTGCATAATTGCATATGTGATTCCTTCTGTTTTAAACGAGAAATAAGTCATAAGGACAAAAACATTTCATACAAAACTATAGAAGGTAGACACGTGTTTGAATTCCCAAAATCCATGACATCTGTAGCATTCTCCGATGCAAACACTAAAGGATTAAACTCTTCTTCTTCCCTTTCAAATCCTTCCTCCAAACCTTATGGAGGAAAAGGTACATGAAAACTGGTTTTATGGAACAAAACAAATAAGAAGAAAAAAAACAAGTTCAACTGACTTACCCTACATGAACAAACCAGGTAATAGTTTGGTTTCCTTCCTTTTTCCACCCTTTTTTAAAGGCAGATAAGGAGGGGATCCTTCAAAACTTGGGAATTTGCATCATTCTTAACCCCAAAGAACGGCAGATAAGGAATCTCCCCATTAAAAAATGGATACAAGGAGCTTCTTGACAAATGAAGTTCTCAGAAGTGTTAATGTGGTGAGTTGTCTTGCTCAAGGGATCCTGCAATTACCAAAGAAATTAGAAAGGGGAGTGATGATTGAGTAGTTTTAATGTGAATATAGACGAAATGTGATATGAAATTACCAGGCGATTCCTTTTATATTTTATGGAAAGCCGAAGATCACCCTTGCGGATCATCACCACTTAAGTTCTTTGATTGGAGTTCGACGGCCTTCAGGTCTCGGAGATGTTGCAGGATTTCTTGGAGTAGATCCATCCCTTTGTCGCCTTTCTTTACGGAGCCCATGCAGTTCTTGAGGAATGCCCTGTCTTCTTCAAGAGCCTTAGCCTCTCATAAACACGATCCACCTCTTCTTCAATTGCTAGTTTTTTGTGATCCAACTCCAATTCTGGACCTGCATATTCCTTCATTTCGACTGATTCCATTCTGATTCTCCTTGTTTTTGGTATATCGATCCTTCTTCATTATCCTCTGCATCCAGGAAAGGAAGGAGACTCTTTGCCATGGCAGCCATTGTTGTACCATGGAAGCCATTATTGTCCCGTTACCTTCTTTGCTGCTCAGATCATTACTGTCATCAAAACCATTAAACGAATCCTTAATTGATTTCAGATCCTCCATGAACTGATCATCCCCCATGGTTAGTAACTTGTCTTCCAATGCCTTGAGCTGATCTAAGATGGACAGTCTCTCTTCCTCGAATCGGTCAACGATTCATCGAGTGCATTTACATGGTTTAAACAATCCAGTGCCATTTCTTCCAAGTTACCAACTGCATCAGGGCTGCTCTCTTGGTTGCCAGAGAAGCTGCTGTCCTCATACTTGGCCTCACGGTTTAGGTCTAACGATAGCTCATCGCTATCCTCCACATAGCTGCATGCAGCCGAAGTTTTCCTACTTTCCGAATTTCCCTCTTTGCTTAGCCTCATTGTCCTCATCCTTTCATCAGTCTCGTAATCGAGAATCTTCTTCTGATAAAACTCCAATTCTTTCTCGAGTTCTTCCTTCTCTTTCTCTCGTTTGATCATAAGCTCGTTTAGTAATTGAAGGGCCTCTTGGTCATATTCC